TATATATATATATATATCCAAGAAATAAAAACTGTTGTTTTAAATTTGAAATATCTGGCGTGTGTCCAACAAAAAGGCAAACATTAGTTATTTTAATTTTTTTTTTGCCTTTTTATTGCCTTTATTTGATAGGGACAGCTGAAGATAGACAGGAAAGGGGGGTAGAGAGAGTGAGGATGACACGCAGCAAAGGGCCGCAGGTCGGATTCGAACCCTGGGATGCTGCAGCAAGGACTCAGCCTGAGTACATGAGTCCAGCTCTACCGACTGAGCTAACCAGGCGCCCAAAGGCAAACATTAGAACTTAAAATCCACAACAATGCAAGTTTGACTCCTTCTAGAAAACACTGTGAATAAAGCTGCTTGGTACTTATAAAACACTTCGTATAAAGTAATGACCTGTCAGTGGTTTGTGTTACTTTAAGTCTAGTTTGAGGTGTCTAAATAAAGCATTGTTACCAAACTGAAAGCTGTCTGTTTTTCCCTGATCAGCCCCGAACCTACTTTCTGACTCTCACTCTCTTGTTGTCTCCAGTATTGTGGGAAGGAAGGCTCGAGCACTGTATGCCTGCAAGGCAGAGCATGACTCCGAGCTGTCCTTCATTGCTGGGACCATCTTTGAGAACGGTGAGTCAGGCCCTGAACTTGCCAGCAGTAAAAGGAAAGAATGTGGGTTGATGTTTGTATAGAAACAAACAATTACTGTCAAAAGAAAAAGTCAGCCTTGGGAGTTTGCTGGACTTAATTTAGCGTTGGAGTTGGATTTCATCCCCAAGGTAGGAAATTTGTTTTAATTTATCCAAGTAGTCAAGGGATTTTGCCCAAAAAATCATGACTAGAAGGCTTTTAACACCATTTTCTCACACCACTATTTTTATAATAAAATTAAATGGCTCCCTGTCATTTCTCCTCAAAGTTTTTCCTTAAGTAATTTAGTTTGGTGGTCATGTTGGAGCAAAAGGGAAGGTGCACTGGAGTTGTTTGAATAAGCTTTTAAGTTGACTCCTTGCAGCATATTTACTGGGAGCCTGAATCCATAGGGTGTGATATATTTTTTTGTTTGTCAAGAATATTTTTATCCAGCCATCCATTTGCTCTCATTTCACACTTCACCGTAGAATATAAGAAGCTGGCAAGCAGACAAGAGTGTAACAGATGCAGTCGAGTGCAACGCATTGCTTTTGCACGCAGCCAAGAACTTAATATCTTTCAGATCTGAGGAGTCATTTGCTTTGATTTGGGAAAAAAACAAGTATTAATATGTGGAAGAAACTGGCAGATAAAGGATGACGCAGGAAATTACGGGTATTGGGAATATTATTTCTGTTTTTATTGGTTTGCTTTCTTTATTATTTATTTTTATCTTTCCTTCATAGGAATCTCAATGTGGATTGTTTCAGGGTCCTCACCAGTCTATTTTCAACCTTTTCAACCTCAAGCTCCCAAAACTGTAAATCACATTTATCTCCCCGGTTTTCTTTGGCTCAACTCTCCTAATAAGGACCAAATTTGCACAAATTCAAGGATAATAAAATTACTTATTCAGTACTTACACTGTTTCACTCATTGGCAGGCCAAACAGGATCGGCAGTGATTCACTTTTTTGGTCATGTCAGTTGACACGTGGTCCCTCAAACCCCCAGACCCTAAATAGAGTTAGCTGCGTTAAGACTATTGCAGGTTATGTAATGCAGAGCAGTGTCACCGGAGCCCTTTTGGTCAAAATGTGACCTTCGGGACATGTAATCCCTACCATGGTATCCCAACACCCCAGTCTGCTCATGGCTAGCCAAGGACGGAGCATCCCAACTGTCCCCACTGGCTCATACAGCAGCCTCATTATGCCCTTTTTTAGCGTTCATAAGAATACTGTTCCAAAACAGTGTATGATTGTGTTAATCTTGTTATGTTTACAGAATAGTGCCACAGTTTTGATGCATACATTGTTGCACAAAATAAATTCAAAGAATAGTTTTATTTTTCTTCTTATGTTTGTTTATCAGGCAGATCCACGAAGATCAAAGACGGATAAAAACTTTGTGCACTGTTTCATGCTGAGTCCACATTTGGTTTCTGTCTTTGACGTAACTCTGTGGTAGCACGGTCTGCAGCGTTTTTGTGTTAGATTCCCTTTGAGGACAAAATGTGGTCAACACAATTTATTTTCTGCAGTCATGTTTATTCATTCATTCACGATCAACTCCACAGCAACTTGCAATTAGTTCAGTTACTTTGCTGTATTATTGTAGTTCATACATGTCAAGCACTGCAGTATTAGTCAAGGGACCATATGTTTACATGCCATCCTCCTGCCACACACACTTTTTGGGGGGGCTGTTACAGTAAATATTATGACTATGAAACAATATACAAAAATAGAAATATGGTATTTGTTAAACTATCAATTAAATAATTAACAGATATTTCCCTGAGGAGTTGGTGTAGACATAAAAACTAAAAGAGTGAATTTTAGACTAACATTTGTCAAGTGGCCAGAAACATGACTCCGAATGATGTTAATGTTGTTCTGTTTCACCTTCATCTACTGTTTATAAAAATAGTTCATACTGTAGGAAACACACCTGTGTGGGGTTGACATCTCTCATCCAGGCACATGTCATGCTCACTTTGCAGCTATAGGTGTGTGATGTTGCTGCCAGAGATCCCCACTCATGAGGAACATGCGAAATTGTTTACTGCCCTATTTGCACTTATTTGCATCTGTGTCTTACCCTATTTTCCTCCACTCTTTCTCTCTCTCATTATCTGCACATGTGCTTGTGTGCATGTGTTTGTCCAAATGTTTAAGTGACACATATTTATGGATATTTTCCCCTTCATCTTGAGATGTTTAAACAAAATCAATGTTTCTTTCTCTCTCTCCAGTTCATGCCTCCAGGGAGCCCGGTTGGCTGGAAGGCACTCTGGACGGCCGAACAGGACTAATACCAGAAAACTATGTGGAGTTTTTATAGTCCAGGGCTGAGAAGAACTTGAACTGAATGATACTGGACTGGAGATGACCAAAACTGGACTGTTAAGAGGTCTAGATTTGACTGAACAGACTCTATTAGATCATATGCTATAGTGAACTGGATCATTGTTGATGATGCCGCTCTTGTCTTGACTAGACTGGGAATTGAAACTGGACCAAGCAGAACAATATTGAATGAATATGACGTAGGAACAGAGCTGAGTGAACGGGGTCGGGGTGGGGGTGGGGGGGACCCATGAATTGCACTGGAAACAAAAGCCCCACTGTGGTTCTGGCTGTTTTTGGATTAGTGGGGATGACTTCCCAAGTCCTGGTGAAGATGATGTGGTAATGAACCTGGAATGTGTGTGAGTGTGTGAGAGAGAAAATCACTTGCATAAATTAGTTGATATTTCCGAGCTGGGAGGCTTGTGATTTTTCAGCCCTTGCTTTATGAATTTGAACTGCACTGCCACTGCTTCAGCATCTCCTCTTTTTATCAGCCAGAAATAGATTTTCCTGCGGAGATCATGGAGGTGATGACAGGGAACATAAAACAAGGCAAGTGGCTTTTAACTTTGGACTTGCTAGTTCACCTCCTCACCGTGTGCTGTTTGAATGATTGCTAATCGCATTGGAGCTTTTAAAGCCGATTTAAATGATTGGGTTTTGTTGTACAGCTGTAAATGTGTTTGTGAGCACTCGCTGTGGTGGTCCGGTAATTCCCCAGGACAAGACTCAACCTGGCTAATGTTTCAGAGCGCCAGTTCAGCAACAAAAGCCCCAGGGCAGATCAGCACTGGATGAGGTCGCCTTGAAAACAGTTCGCTGAAAGGTCAGCTTTGGGTTGATCATTATTTATAATACCTCTCCCTGCAGAGCCCTCACAAAAAATGTGAAAAATTTCAAACAAGCTCCACAAGAAGATCAGCGGTTTACAAAGCAGCGTAGGAGTAACATCTGATTCCTGCTGGTTAAAACAAGCCCAGCTGTGAGTCCTAGCCCTGCTTCGCCAGCTTAGATATTTTTTTGATTGTTGGAAATAATTGGACCCAGTATCGTAAATAGTGTTGAGTCATGTTTGCACTATTTGAAACCATTCTGGGAATACTCATCAACTGGGGTGTTCACATTAGAGCGCCGGAGTTCAAAAGCATCAAGTTTTGATTGATTATATGTATTTATTTTAAGCCTCTATCTTTTTCTCCTAGTTTTAACCATCATGCACAATCAATCAGTTGCTTTACTACACATGCTTTAATTTTCAACACCATGGACTGAGCAAACAATTGAAGTCATTTCAGAATAAGACGCAGTCATCTGAGTCCTGTACGTCATGACCCATCGCAAGGGTTCTTTTTTCTGTTTTTATGTAGAATTACAAAGACGATGCTAATAATGTAATTATCTAAAGAGGACGCACATTTCCATTTGGATTCAGAGTTTACAGCCAAGGCTGTTATTCATAAGTAAAAGAAACGCAGATATGGTTTTTCAGAGAAGCTCAGACATTCGAATGAAAGATTAATACATTTTTCAGAATTGTTCAGATATGTATATGAAAGCTCGTCTGCTTTGGGGATCCAACAGATATCCTCATTTCATGAGTCAAAGCTGAACTTTTAGCTTGAACCACTTAGTGAACGTCTGTAACTTTTCTGAAAAGTTTTTTGTTTAACTTTTTATTTTAGGACAGAATATTGAAAGAACATTTTAGCATTTTAAAGTCAAATGGGAGAGTAACAAAAAAAAACTTAAATGTGAAATGAGACTACTTTGTTCATACCTGAACTTCTTATTTATGAGAGTTTCTTAAAGACACAATCCTGAACTGTATTCATTTTGAGGTGTTTTATCGACATTGTAAATAAATACGCAGCATTTGATAAGGTATAATTTTTTTAAGTATGAAATTTTATATTTTGTATTTTTAGCATACTAACTTAATTCCTTAATTCCATCTTTGTTGCTCAGATTTTTGTATCATTTAGGTCTATCTACAGCCTTAAATATTCTTTCAGATGTTTTGGTGAATTGATTGTGCACAATTAAAGATAAATGTTCAACAGCTGCAGCTGGAGTCTTTGATTTTTATTTGGGACTTAGTGCTTGTCCTGAATAGTTATACTGTGGCTGTATTCACAAATGTTTCAGTTTCCTCTGTATTTTAATGTGAGTGCAGTAACCGTAAAATATATAATAATTTGTGCAGTCTGGTTTAACTTTTGACACACAAATGAAACCTGTTGCTCTAAACAAGGATTTTAAACTAATACAAATTTTGGATCCAGTTCTGCCAAAAACTGCAACTGCAAACCTTCAGCTGAGATGAAATCGAAGTCTTAAGAAAGTACCCGACCCAGAAGAGCTGCATTGGTAAGTGGAATTTTGAGCTTGAACTAAGCTAGGCTAGCTGTTCCCCCTGCTTCAAGTTTTTCATGCCAAACATTTTGCTTTCCAACTCTGGCACACTTTATGCAAGGTCATTCTCCTAATTTTCAGGTCCATACTTGTGTTTTCAGTTTAATATTCAAAAATGACATTAATTTGGTCATACTGGCCATTGCTGCAGGTACTCTTTTCACTGACCCTCCCTCCTGAGTAGCTCAGTCTGCTCCGATTTGTCAGCTCCCACAAGCCCGAGCAGGCATCCTTGAGCTTGCAAGAGCAGTGTTTTCTTTGGGAAAAGATCACTTCCCTTGGCATGGAGTTTGGGTTTTGTTACTACACTTAAAAACAAATTAATAAAGCAGCTCTGGTTTTCTGAATTAACGACATGTTATATTTATGAGATACTTTTTCATGCACAAAACACGAGCCACACATATCCCACCCCACTGAATTTATAAATTGTTAATTCAGAATAACTTTTACTAATAACTTTTTTCAGACTTTTTAGATGCACAAAACAACACACTTAAGCACAGGGAAACGCCCAAAACGCTTAATATGGCCTCATTAAAATCTGATCTCAGCAACAAAGTTAATTTCCCAGCATGATCAACAATTTCGAATTTGAATGATCCATTTCACACTAACATACATGTGATTACCAACATTTCGAAATCAATTTCAATGAGATTTTAGAGAGAAAAAATAACACCACTGGGGCTGAGCATTGAAAAACAGGAAATTTTATTGTGTAAGATGTGTGAACTAAAGAGAAATCAGTTCTTCTGAATTTCCACTTCACCAGTGATGACAAAAACATCATCCAAGTTGTTACCAACACGATGCCAAATCCAATGTCAGAACAACACATCACTTAATTCAACATTTAATCAAATAGGTGAAAATATCGACACTGACTACAGAAGAGGTGTAATACAGAAGTAAAACAAACTATTGTTTTTTTTAGACAAACATTTTATATATTTTTTTGTTTGTTTTTACATTGGATTACATTTACATGACTGAAATATGAACAAAACAGACTTCAATGAAAGCCATAGCCATATGTACCAATGAAACGTGATCTGCCCTTAATCTTTAAAGATAATATTTGCATGTATTTTATACAAAATAGACTTTATCAACCAGTAGGAGGGTAGTGCAATTCTGTCAGGCTCTGGTAGATTTACTTTCACACGGAGATTCAACTTTTTTTTTTTTTTTCGTTTTCTATTTTAAAGTGACCAGTAAATCCTCACAGCAATGTACATGAGATCCAAAGCCTGGACCTTTTTTTTTTTTTAAAAAAAGATACCTTTCAAATAAAATAAGAAGTACTAGAAGTTGGATAATAAGTGCTACTTAAAATGTAACTGCTTGAATACTTCTGTCTGTTAAATCTTTTTTCTTTTTTTCCTCTGCTTTGGTCACTCTTATATAACGCAAAAACCTCCTCCAGTCAGTCTCACCTTTCATCCCTCCCTCCCTCCCTCCCTCCCTCCCTCGTTTCCTTATAACTTTAAAACACAGTGAGCATTCATGTAGACTTTCCCATTGACTCGCAGAATTTACATTTACTTCACAAGACAAACATGTTTAACATTTCCTAATGTATTCAACACATCTACCCTTATCAAACACAAACCAACAAACAGAAAAATATTTACTTTCTTGACTTGTTCAATGTACAAAAAGGATTGGGCAAAATTATTCATATCAAAGAGGATCAAGCTGATGTATTCAAAATCGCAGAAAATATTGTCTTTTTTAATTTTTTTTTTTTTTTTTTTACAATACATCAATCTCCAAAAGCGTTAATATTTGTTAAGGGTTTATCTATTTCCTGATTTGAAATCTTATTTCTATGGCTCTCTGTCTCCCTTTCAAAGGCCTTTAGTCAAACATGTAGTTGAAAGATAAAAGAGAAAAAATGTATAGAAGTATAGAGGTAATGTCCATGTAAAAATATTTTGTAATAGACACTGTTTACATTGCACTGGATATGTCGGCGCTGCTATATATACACCTATGGCCATTTAGAAGTGAGCAGGGATATGGTTACATCTACACATTAAAGCTGGTTTTCTGAAGCACCAACACCCGGAAACAACTGTAATACTGTATGCAAAAGTTACCCAAACAAAGACAGTTTAGTCAAATTTTCCCCAGAATAATCAACAACGACGTGAGCAGCATTAAACCCATGTTCTTAACAACACAGGGGCACAAGACCGAGTTAGTGGGTGAAGCTGAAAGCCTGCGCTGTACATGAAACCTGCTGTAAGAGTAACCATCCTTTGGCAGAATGGCTGATTAAAAACATAATGGCTCTTGTTGAACAGTGGCTTGTATGCGTCCAGAGCCTGCTGTGCTGTTAGCTTTAAGTAACACACAAATGACTGGTCTCTATGGCAACCTGCTACCTTGTCTATTACCTGGCATTCAGACTTAGGCGCTGCCGAGGGACAAGTACCATTCAGAGAAAACAGCTGAAAATCTGTACAGTCGACATTTAGGCAGAGAGGCCTGGCAGTTACAAGAAACACTGAGGAAAACAGAGCCATGTCTCGGGGGGGGGGGGGTTATTTGCACTTCCAGCAGAAGCCAATATACAACTATGCTTTGTTTTGGCCATCACATAAGCTGGTACGAACATCGTTTCACATTACAAATGCACCAAATGCTGACCACCACCTGTTTGACAGCAGTATATATTACTGCTTTAATTTGCAATTTTCAAAAATACAATAATTTGTGCATCTCCAAAAAAGTAAAAGTCATTCATCATACACTTACTTGGATGATAACAATCAGTACGTATAAGCTGGTGTAGGTGTGACACTGAACTTAAGATCTTTCTCATAAATGAGCACCGTCAAGCAAAGTTACAAAAACCAATGTCGAATCCCAACTGAATAATCACTCTTTCACATCTCCAGGAAAAAGACATATAAAAACTTGCTATTACATTTGGCACTAGTG